AAAAAAAAATATTAATAAATATCAAACAGGGCTTAATGAGATTATTATTATTATTATTATTATTATTATTATTATTATTATTATTATTATTATTATTATTATTATTATTATTATTCAAGCGACTTGAGCTTCATCCAAGCTCCCTAACGGTAAGTTATGGTCAATCTAAAGTCGAGTTTTGACAGTTACGTTCATCACAAAATCTATAATTTTTAGTTAAAACAACCAAATTGGAGTTTTAGATTCTTAGTTTATGTTGAATTCGAATTTGTTCAACCTCAAACTCATTATATTTTATTCAAACTTGTTAGAGACCTACAATCTCGATTTTAAGTTCAAGATTAGGTTAGTAGGTTACTCAAATGATGATGAGTAAAAATCAGGTTTTTGATATAATAATTTAAATCTTAAATATCAGGGTCGAAGTTTCCTTAAGCAAAAATCAGGTTTTGATATAATAATTTAAATCTTAAATATTTCCCTCAATTCATTTTCAAACCCTAATATTTATCCTTCTCTCTCTACCGCATTCTCTACTTCTCTCTATCAGAAAACACCACCGAATTTGGTAGCTTTCACGACGGCGACGACGTCTGCAGCAACCTGACCAGCGGCGTTCTGTTTATCTTCTCTCTCTCTCTACTCAACCTCACTCGGTGGCTCAGTAGCGCCACTTTTCGATCTTCGAAGAACGATTCGCGATGCTACATTCTTCCATGCCGACTATTGCCAGCTTGGGGAGGGGGTTTGTGTTTTTTTTCTCTCTTTCGGATCTGAGGAGGTTGCTGGCGGTGATGGTGAGGGGGTGGACGGTGGTGGCGATGGCGGTTCTGTGGTTGGGTGGCGTTTGGACGGGGTTTTGTGTGGTGGTGGTGGTGGTGGTGGTGATGGTGTTTGTGTGGTGGAGGTTTTGTGGTGGCGTCTATGGTGGTTGAATTGGCAGTGATTTGGGGGTGTTTTAGTTGTGGTGTGGTTTTAGGTTGTTTTTGTTGGTTGTGTAGGGAGGGATGTTAGCGGCGATGGTGGATTTGACAGTGGTTTTGTTGGTGGTGCAGGTCGGGGTGTTGACAACGGTGGTGGCAGTCGACAATGGTGGTGGTCGTGGTGGTGTGGTGTTGATGTTGTGGTGCTAGAGACTATGTCAAAGTGCGGGTGGTGGCGATTGCAGTGGAGATTGTAGTGGTGGCGGCGGCAGCAGTTGTATGTGACCAATTATTTAGTTATCTGTAACCTAAAAATTTGATAACTTGTGACTTAAAAATAATCTGCAACAAACTAATTTGAAAATATGTGACCTAAAAATTCGATAACTTTGATTTAAAAATAATTTGTGACCAATTAATTTGAAAAACTGTGACCTATAATATTTTTTATTTGTGACCAATGAAAGAATCCGTGACCAATTATTTTTATAATATGTGACATTGTTATGTTAAAGTACACATTTGTGACCATAAATCTTATAACTGTGGCTCTAATACGCTTCATTAATAAAATATTTTTAATTAATTAACAGAAACCTAATTTTTGCATTTTAGAACTTTAGGCCTTGAATTTGAATTAGCCATACTTAAAGCATGGTTTATGAATTTTTCCCTTAGAAGATTATCCAACATTGTGGGCCACCACAGTATCTGAATCTACCTAATTGGAACTTTACACGTGGAATTTCTATTCATTTCATCCATTCCCGTGAGAGCAACAGATATCTAACCAATCAAAGAACGTCTTTCTAATTTTTGGGTTAATTGTTATTCTTAGTTTACACTTGAAGATAAGGACCAAGCTACACGCGAGATCCACTCGTCCCATGTGAGGGTGTGGTCGTCCCCGTGGTCATCGGTACGGGTCAAGTGGCTTAATTCTGGAAAAAAATAATAATTATGATGTCATTGTCATTGTCAAGTTGTAATGGTCCTAATTGGTTGTTTATTAGAGTTCTAAGTGAGTAGGATTGAACCTTGGGCTTTTGGGGTCTGTTTAGCATTACTCGAAAAATATTAAATCTTAGCTATATTTGGTTCATATTTATAAATTATTTATAAATAAATAAATAAATTTATTTATATATTTCAAATGATATTCACTTATCTAACTCTCATTTATATTTATTTGTAATTTAAAACATTTATAAACACTTTTTGCTTTTAACAATCTAGAGTTTGGACAAATTTATTAAATTGATTATTGAACTATTTATAATTTCATTTTCAGCCCCTTTATACATCCATTAAAATGAGTTTACTTGGAGAAAAATGAATTTTAAAATATTGATTTTTTGAAAAAGAGTGGTTAACAAGTATGACAAAAGTTTTGAGTTCACATATAAAATATTTTATTGTGTGAATGTGTAGTTAGAAATGAATTTGAAAAAAAAAATGTTAATAAATATCAAACAGGGCTTAATGAGATTATTATTATTATTATTCAAGCCACTTGAGCTTCATCCAAGCTCCCTAACGGTAAGTCATGGTCCATCTAAAGTCGAGTTTTGACGGTTACATTAACCACAAAATCTATAATTTTTAGTTACAACAACCAAATTGGGGTTTTAGATTCTTAGTTATGTTCAATTCGAATTTATTCAACCTCAAACCCGTTATATTTTATTCAAACTTGGTAGAGACCTACAATCTCGATTTTAAGTTCAAGATTAGGTTACTAGGTTACTCAAATGATGATGATTGAATGCCAATGATTACCATCGAGTTCCGATGAGATGGTTAAAATATGATGCAACAAAGTCCCTGTATGACAGCCATTATCCAAAAAAACTCTTTATTTTACATACTCATTTTCAACCATACATTCACACAATAAAAGTTGAAATTTTAATAAAAGAATAAAAGCCATAGCTTAATTGCAAAATTCTCTTAAGCTCGTGTTTGGTGAATATTAAAATAAGATTTTTAATATTTTATTATTTATTTATTTTTATTTTTTTTATAAAAGTTGATAATGTATGATTGAAAAAATTATGGATTCTATAAAATATGTGACTAAATTAATTGTTAACTTTAACTTTAATAAAAATTTAGATTTCAATTTTCCCCAAATAGGGACTAAGAAGGTTTCCTAGTGAAACACGAATCACAGACCTCCTAATTCATTTGAGATCCTCAAGGATTTATTTAACCAATTCTTGAACATGAATAGCGAACTGAGAAGATTCCCCTATCCTCCTTTCATATCGAATGATGGTATATAGTATTTACTAGAACACCAAATTAAATAATCATACCTGATATATTCAATTAAATGAATTACGAAACATTATATTTGAGTGAATTTATTATTTAATTACACTCAATTATCATGTAGACTACTACTCTTTCATATTTCGTTATCATGGTGCTTATAATTGAGTTTTAATTAATGGCATTCCGCTAAAACTGATGCAAAAGTCAAGAAAACAGTTCCATCAAATTAAATGATGTAAACTGGCAAGCAAATTTTGTGGACTCAATTTAATATTTAAAATATATGGCTGCTGTGCTCATCATTCTCGCCATCAAAATTCATCTACATACCCATCTTCACCACCTTCCAATGGCGACCAGGTCAACCCAATTGTACTCCAAAACCTCTGGATTTGTAAAATTCAAGGCCCATTTTTCAGACTGCAAAATATCTGCAGCACCAATAAATTTATATTCCACATTATTCTATTTTCTTGGTGGCCCCTTTTGTTGTTAAGAATGTTACTGTACTTTTTGGTATTTGTTACGTTAGAATATTGGGTTGTGTAACTTGTACCTTTGTATCCACTATTCTTTCCTTTGTCTGTCCTTGGTTTACTCCTTTCAGCTTTTTAGAGGGGTTCCTTTGGTTTAGTTGAAAATTTGACTTTTTCTTTATTCGATTTATGTTGATTTAGAAGGTGGGAGACAAGTATCAAGACATTTGACAATCTTGGGAAAATGGGCGTTCTTGAGAGTTCCCAGCCAACTTTCTCTAAAACGGGAGCAAGTTTAATTGTGTTTATGCTGGTGTTTGCTGCTGCTTATAGGAGGAGCAGATAGACAACTGACGCATCCCAATGAAGGTGATTTGTATTTTTTCGCCGCCTACTTTTGAGTAGGCATGGACATTTTAATCGGAACCGAATCTTTCAAACCAAAATCGGAGGTTCTGATTTGGTTCCCCCAAAAAATAAATTAGGAACCGAAACTGAGAACCGATAACCGACTGGGTTCGATTTGATTCTTGGTTCCTGAAACAGAACCGTGAATATTCGAGTGTAACCGATTTTTATTTTAAAAAAAAAAATTATTTACAATTTATAGGCTAAAAAATATATAAAACCTAAAAATCCTAATTTTGGTAGTAATTAGTCTAAAACTCTAAACTCTAACCCTGAAAAATAAGATTGGCTCTTACCTTTTTACATCTCGTCTTACATCAGATTGTTGCATTTCATATGTTATTATATATTAATGTTTACAATTTGATTTTTTATAAATCAAAAATTTCAAACGAATTGTGGTATAAGTTGACGAATCAAAAAGTTTATTCCTTGCAATTCAAGTTTTTTACTTTCTTGTGTTGTTAATAAATTTAAGTGATTTTTTTTTTTTCATAATGCATGACAATTTAATTTGATATATTCATTGCTTGCGTTGTGTTATACATTTTTTGTTATCTTGAGTTCGCGATTCTCTTTTTTAAATATATACTTTTTAATTTTTATTCAAACGGAGCGAGTTCAATATGTGGACCGTAATTTTTTTGATACTATAATAGTTATGTATTTAATTAGTATTTTTTATATCAATTTGTTTTAAAAATAGAAAAATTTAAGCATTGTTCATAATTAAATTATATGCCTAGTATGCCTCTGATCAAATAAGACTTATTAAGAAAAATAATTTTTTTTAAATTATAATTTCATTTTTTATCTTTATTTTATTTTCTCCTATCTTCGTGGTATTTAGTATCCAATATTTTGCTCCTTGAAATTTCTTAATTGAATTTTTTTCATTGCACAAATATTTTCGAATAATAGCATATTAGATATATGTACCAAAAGGGTCTATGTGAAATATTTATTAAATAAATGTATATAAAAATGTTACGGGTAGAACCAAAGCCTGAACCGATGGTTCGGGGTTGGTTTGGTTCCAATATTTACAAAGATCCGAAGGATCCCATTTGCGAAATATCCAAAGTATAATGGGTGATTTTGGGTATTGAAATATCCGGACCGATCCACTCGATTCCCAAGCCTACTTTTGAGTTAGTTTGAGCATGCTTAGGATCATCAATCATGTGTTATATTATGTGCAATTACTTATTCCTCTGATAAGGGAAAGATGACACTTGATCGTGGGAAAATACGATGGAGATCATGATCTATCATTTTGTTACTATTTTTCTCTAGTTGTAATTCTAGGATTTTTACTTAAATTGGATTTAACAAAACAAACGAAGTTTTAATTTCTCTTTTCTACATAGGATGCATTTAATTTGCTGTTTTCAAATTGTTTTCAATTTTGCAAAACACCCAAACTTGTTTGATGTGTTATTCTTGAAAATGCATTTTTGAAAATATGGTAAAATTATAACATATAATTTTGAAAACACTAAAAATATGGAAAATTAATGTTTATTTAAATAAAATTCTAAAAATTAAAAATCCAAAAAAATGATAATTCTAACAAATAAAAATAAATAAAAATTTGGAAAGAATAGAATCTAAAATTCTAGAAAAATAATTTCTAAGAACATGAAATTCTAAAAAGTGAAAAAAAAAATCTGAAAAAAATTATAAAAAATAAATAATTATTTACATAAAAATTCTAAAAAAATATTTAAATGAACTTAAACAAAAATATTCTCAGCAAAGTCATTACTTTTTATTTCCTACATATTGCCTACCCAATTTATTATTATTTTACTTTTCTGTAGCCAAAAAAAAATATTGTAAAATTCACAAACTTTAATATGTAAATATTACTTGATAATATGTAACATATAAATGTTCTATTGTACTGAATAATCAAATTTCGTGAAATACAATTTTTTAAAAATTTTAACCAATTGTGTTCTCTGCTTTTCTGCTTTGAGAAATAGTTTTTTAAAATGACAAACCAAAAGCCTTTTTTAACAATTTTAAAACAAATCCTCAAAAGAGAAATATAAAAATGAACTCAAAACTTAAAACTGAAACACAAACAAAACGGGGCCTTAACTTTTATGGGCGAATAAGTAAGCATAAGAAAATCAAGGCTTCTCATTGTGTTTGGGCATCCTTGATAATACTCCCTTCGTCCCATTTATATAGGTTTAGTTTTTTTTTTTTCTTGTCCCAAAAATATAGTTTTATTTCTTAATTTAGAATATTTTGTTTTGTTTCTTTACTAATATACCCTTATTTAATTTGTCTAGTTACAATCAATTTGTTTCCACTTAATTTTCCTACTTCTTGAAATCAATTTTCAGAGTCTTTACTAATTCCAACAATAATTTACTACTAGTTGTTGAAAACTAAATAGGGATAAACTAGGAAATTTTTTAGTGAAAATTATTTCTTTTATAAAATTAAATAAGATTTCTTAATCTGTGTGAAAAACAAAACAAACATACATAAATGGAACGGAGAAAGTATAAATTAGTGACAAGACTTAATGCTGGTGCATTGTTGAATTTCTAACGAATAAAATTGTCATAAGGTTCAAATTAGACAGTAAATTACCATGTTATTTTTCCCATAACTTGGATATAATAGCGGTTTCTTTGATCAAGAACTACTCACACTCCAAACATTGATAAAAATAAATAAATTGTGCTACAATTTTATCACTAGTTACGTTTAAAATGAATGTAGAATGGATTTCTATTTAATTCAGAATTACACTAAAACTCAATGACACACATTTACTATCAACATGTTTTCCTTTTCTGTGTTAAGAGATAAAAATTTCACATCGGTTAAATACCGAAATATTGACCAACTTAAAAAGGTCTTTGACTACTCCGTTTAATAAAGTTGATCTTATTAAGATGGATTCCAGTCTTAATATGGTATCAGAGCCCATTAAACTCTAACGAGCGATTCGATCCTATTAAGACACAATAAATGAGTATACGAATTTCAAGATTTGTCTGCTCAAACGAGCCACCATCTTGCGGGAGCATGTTAAGAGATAAAAATTTCACATTGGTTAAATATCGAAATATTGACCAACTTAAAAAGATTTTGTGCTACTCCTTTTAATAAGATTGACCTTATTAAGATAGACTCCAAGTCTTAACATTCTGTGTTAACCAATGTCCCTCATTTTACCTACATTTGAAATGCTTACCACCATTAATGAGGTTTTGAAACCTAATGTAATTGAATATCTAATGAAGATTCTTACTATGGTACTCGGACATGGAATTTAAGAGTTTAATAATGAGATGGTGATGTCTTTTGATATAAGATCACAGCCTATCTTTAATATTTTCTGCAGTGAATGCATTGCGAAACATCCAAAGAAGTTTGACAGACCCAAATCGGAATCTTCACAATTGGAACAGGGGGGATCCATGTAATTCAAAATGGACAGGGGTTTATTGCCATAACAGGACAATGGATGATGGTTATCTTCATGTCAAAGAATTGTATGATTTTAGTCCTTCCCCCTCCTTTTTTTTACTGTATCATAATTTGCAGATATTAAGTATGTTAAAGGTACAATGTACTTTTATTGCTTCCAAATTATTAAAATTGTATAACTGCGCATTTATGTTCTTATCTGATTCTGTATCACTTGGTGTCAAAATTCATCTTCATAAGTAAAAGACTATCTTTAGGGATACACTTTTGTAGGCCGACTTTTTCCTTTGGGGTCGTGTTCATGAGATCAACAGGTTACCATGACTTGGTCCTGAAAAGGGATGTTAATGTGATAAAGGTAACCTTTCTATCGTCTAAAAAGTTCGATGAAAATATATAGACTTCTGTGATATGGGAACTGTACATGTAAAGAATAGTTTGTTGCGGAAGCTCTCTATGAGAGTGCCTAGATTTACCACAGCTATAACACCGTCTACCACTAGACTTGTCCCGCCCTTGCCCTTCTTCTTATTACTCTCATTACTCGAGTCACTACTTGAATCACTACCGTCTTGAGCTCTACTAAAATTCATTTGCTTAAACTTCATCATATTCCTCATCAAATGTAACTCACCACTCCTCTTATCCTCTTTTTTAGCCTTAATTTCCATCTACTTACTCCTAAGTAAGTCTAAGACAATCTCGAGTGTTAAGGTGTCCCAATCGTATTTAATTGCATTTTTAACCTCTTTATATGAATCTGACATGGAATTTAGCAGGTTAATAGCCTTATATGTTTTAGAGACATTTTCATCACAATTAACAATATTTTGAACTAAATTGTTAAAGACATCCAGATTGTCGTCAAAATCCTTTGAAAAATTCATTTTAAAGTTGAAAAATCGTTCAAGCAAGTACAATTTATTAAAAGCGGATTTAAGCAAATCTAAGTCCTCCAACTTTTTTCAAAGTTCTTTAGTAGATTCAAGTTTTCCTAGTTTTTTCAAAACAGTATCAGATAGGTGTAACATAATTGAAGTGTACGCAAGTTCATCATACACTTCTTTTTGTGCTTCTATTAAGTTTCCAGGAAATTTGTCATCTATGGCTTATGAATTTTTTTGTTGGGCCAAAATATCCTTCATCTTTTATTGCCAAATTGAAAAAAATCCCTTTCCCATTAAAATGTTGGAGAAGCTATCTCTAAGGATCTTCAAATCGATGGTTTTTGGGGCTCAGTTCAACGTACCTTTTTCTACCAACAACCAATTCAACTGGCTTCGATCCACAACCAATATTATTCACCTCGATTGATATTCAATCTTACCACGTAAGACAAGAAACGGTGATGATTTGTGGCCACGAAGATTAGGAGAAAATACCACAAAGGTAGGCTATGAAGGAACAATTAATTACACTAAGTAAACAAGCATTTTGGATACTTCTAGGGGCTGTTTTTCACACACCAAAGGGGGCGGCCGAATTTCTCTTTTTCTCACACAAAAACGACCCAAATCATACTAGAAAGTGATTAGGGTTATAGCCTTATATATACTCTAGGGTTAGGCTTTAAGTTGAACGTCTAAGAAACTTAAACAGGTCAAGATTCAAGCCATTCAAGAGGGAATACAATTAGACCAGGTGGAGCTCATGGACTTGATTGTTGGACTTGTTTTATTCGTCGGCCTATGCCTATGAAATAATAAACCCACGTTAACATCATAACCTATGATTTATTAGGTATCAGAAAAACCCATCACAGTTCAAATTTACCTGAGTGAGATTCCAAGGAAGATGCTTAATAGTTTTAAATTGTGGATATGCCAGACTTTCTTTGGAAACATTTTACAAAATCTGTATATTGCTAACCGTATAATTAGTAACTGAGCATTACTGTCTTCCTTTTTGTTTTCAACAACAGGTTCCTACTAAATAGGAATCTATCAGGAAGCTTATCTCCACAACTTGGACAGTTATCTTATTTGGAGATACTGTAAGTTAGATATTTAATACACACCTCTTTTTTATTTGTGCTTATTTATTTTTCTCAGAATGTTACCTCCAAAATTTTCTCTACCTATCTGTGTTGCCTTCCCTTTTAAATTAATTATTTTTTATTGTTCTCAAAGGGACTTTATGTGGAACAAAATTACTGGGAGTATACCTAAGGTGATAGGCAACATTACAACGTTAAAATTGTTGTAAGTTGAAGCAGTTCTTTACTAGATTATCCTTTTCACAGTTCCTTTCTCTTCTACTTTGCTTAATTTTTGACTAGATGCTCATTGAAGTAGGGGAAACCTTATAAATCCTCCTAAGCAATCCATTATATTATTTGCTAATTCTCGACAGAGGCTTCACCATGATCTGAACCATTATGTTTTTACTTGTGCTTTCCTTTCTTTGGTTCCAGGCTTCTGAATGGAAATCAATTGACAGGTTCCTTGCCCGATGAGATTGGTTTTCTTCCAATCTTGGACAGGATACAAATTGACGAGAACAAAATATCTGTATCTATACCCACATCATTTGCTAACCTGAGCAATGCAAAGCACTTGTAAACATTCTTCATTATTTCTAGGCATTTCTGTTTTTTCTTTGAGAAGCTGTTTCCGAGGTATAGGGACCTATGCTGTTGCTGCCTCTTCGACGTTGTTAATGCATTTTCCTTCTAATTGTTCTTACTTGAACAGCCACATGAACAATAATTCACTTAGTGGGCAAATACCACCACAGTTGTCCAGACTTCCAGAGCTTGTTTGCTTGTGAGTTAAAGATATGAATCCTTTAAACCTTACCCTGCTTCTTGAACATCTGATTTTAGTTGATAAACTGAAACCTTGAAGGATACTTGACAATAACAACTTATTGGGATCTCTTCCGCCAGAGCTTTCTGAAATGCCAAAATTGCAGATACTGTATGCATTCTTTCTTTATTAGATGTATTACTTTGGTTATTCCATAATGCTGGGATTTTTCTGTATCAGCCAGCATGTTTTAGAATTATTATTTTTTTAATGCTTGCCTTATTAATTTGCTATTGATCAATGCTATGAGTTTAGAACTAAAAGCAACTCCGTTTTTCTTAGCAAATGAAAAACTTTTGAATCCGAAATGAACCTCTAAACAAAGTCTGAAGTGGAAAAAAATGAATGGTAGTATGTGTTTGAAGTCTTAAATAGCTATTAATAAGTTGTATATCACTCTTGAAGACTTCACTGGAATCATAATAGAACCTATCGGAGCCATGACTTTGTGTCTGTCCAGCGGGTATCTTATTTCATCCTAGTTTTGCATTCATTATCTTTTAATTTCAGTTTATTTTACAGTCTAAAATTAATCAGCTTTGACCATCCATTTGCAAGTGATAAAAAATTGAACATTCAAATCAGATTAACAGAGAGGGGAAAGATGGAGTAGCTAATAAAGATCGAAAGATTTCTTCCGCTCCCTATAAGAAACAAACTGATAAAAATAAGGGTTTATTGTAGGAAAATCATGTGATTGGATCACAATACAAAGTATTGACATTTCATTTCAAAAGGCTAAATTTTTAAATAGTTTTTCTCTCCTCCATCTTATGTTTACTGTGCTTTTCATTATGCAGATGTTGATCTATGAGTTCATGTCTAATGGTACCTTGAGAGATCACCTACCTGGTAAAGTGCTCTTTTTCAAATTGACCTTTTGTGTTTATTTCTCAAATTCATGGTCTCTTAGTCTGTCCTTTTGTTGCTTACGAGACTGCAAACCTCTATACTTCTTCAGACTAGATCATACACACACACTTTAAATAACATGTAAATTGGGTAATGTGCGACTTACAATTTTGTTTTCTTATTTCTGTCCTTCGAACCCACATAATCGTCGTACTGTAATTTAACCCAACTTTTCGTTTTAGGATTACATTTTGATTCCAAAAACGTTCTTAAGCACGTGTTCCTCAAGTTCTTAACGAGTCATTTAAGTATTCAAGCGAGTCCAAAAGTAGACAAGTAACAGAAAAATTTTACTGATTTAACAAGACTTCAATGTTTGAGATATGCAGGAAAGACCAAATTGCCTTTGAGTTTCACTATGAGAGTAAAAATTGCACTGGATTCAGCCAAAGGCATTCTTTACCTACATACGGAAGCAAATCCTCCAATATTTCATCGGGATATCAAGTCAACCAACATATTACTGGACCGTAAGTTTATCGCAAAGGTTGCTGATTTTGGACTGTCACGGTTAGCTCCAGTTCCTGAGCTTGAAGGAGGCATCCCTTCTTATGTATCAACGGTTGTAAAGGGGACTCCGGTAATGTTATTTACAAATGCAAGTTTGAATATTTATTTGAAAATGCAGCATCTAGTTATTATTTCCTTATTTATGTTTTTCAATTTCAATATTGTGACGAACAAAATAAATTTACGTGTCATTAACAAATGCGCATGCTTGATCACTACAGGGATATCTTGATCCAGAGTATTTTTTAACGTACAAGTTGACGGACAAAAGTGATGTTTACAGCCTTGGTGTTGTCTTTCTCGAACTGTTGACAGGGATGCACCCAATTTCACATGGGAAAAATATTGTTCGGGAGGTGATGTATTATTACAATCCATTTTTCTCTTAGTTTACTAGAATAAAGAACATCACTCTATAAATTTGTCAGTCATACTAGTTTATAATTGTTAAATGCTTTCTCATTGTTGTTCTCTTTACTGTTTTAACTTTTAAAACCCGGCTCGGGAACTTGGAAGAGGTATAGAGTCAAGAGGCAAAGAGTTTAATGGCTATCGAATAGGATGTCATTAGCAATTAATAACCGTTTTATGATGTTTAATGCCAATCAAATAGGATGTCAGTAGTTAATTTTCATCAATATGAAAACAAAACCAAATATTAAGGTTTTATGATGTTAATGTTCATAACATAGCATGATTTATTTCAATGTCCACCCTACAAAATATTTTTCCCCCCCCCCCCCAAAAAAAATAATAATAAAAATAAAAATTGCAACTAAACATTTGAAGCTTAATATTTGGTCTATCTGTGCAGGTCAACATTGCATATCGTTCGAGTATGATATTTTCTGTCATCGATGAAAGAATGGGATCTTATCCCTTTGAATGCGTGGAGAAATTCATAAAACTAGCTCTTAAGTGCTGTCAAGACGAGACAGATTCTCGACCTTCAGTGGCAGAAGTGGTTAGAGAACTCGAGAACATATGGCTCATGATACCTGATTCGGACACCAAGATATTCGAATCTATAGACATTGATCCCGAAAAGGATATCACTCCACCATCTTCATCGAATAAACTAATGCATTCACACGTTTCACAAGATATCTCAAGCAGTGATCTTGTCAGTGGAGTTATTCCCACCATTACACCAAGGTGATAATACAAATACAGTTCACATTTTTTGTCTATAAACTATACCTTTTCCATTAGAGGTAAATCGACATAATTCTATATAGTCATTCTGTTTCGTTTGTATTGTGAGCTGTTTAGTGTTTTTTAGTAATACCTATGTACATACATGATAGCTTTTATTTAAATCCTAGTTATTTTCTTGGCTCCGACGCAAAAATAGTAGCTGGTTTTGGTCTAATATGCTGAAGCTACATAGCTCAAATGCGGAAAGGTTTAGCCCCCGTTTGGCCCCCTTTAAAATTCATCAATTCAATTTAAATTTCTCTCTCTTATTTTCAACCACACAATATTCAATAAAATAATATTTCAAGCAAATCAAAAACTTTTCATTCTTTTACAATCATCCGTTACAAAAAAATACTATTCCCCCATTATAAATTCAAATAATAGGGGCCAAATGGGGGCTTAAGGATAAACATCCATATAAAGGCCCCGTTTATTTCCCATTCTTTGGCCAAAAAAATGAAAAATATGATCGTTGTCCATCACATCAAATCACCATATTTGACCTCCTCTCCCTTATGTGGATCCCGTAACGACTATATTTTTCATTCTAATTCTTATAAGAAGGAAATCAAACGGGGGCTTTAATTCTGGACATGAACAAGGCAAATGTTACCTGGGATATCAAATAGGCTGTTTAGATAGCTTCAAAATCCCCAAATCCTCGAGAAGAATTAAAAAGAAAAGGTTTAATTCTAAACTAATGAATTTCTTGAAAGGCACTGCCATGAACAAAAAACTTGATCAATGTCTACTGTGAGGGATTACAGATTTTGCTGCTACTATTGATTTCATATGTGAAAGATGAGATAGAAAATAAAGTACCTCGAATTGTCTTTTATTGTCTAAAACGTCTGATAGCAAGCATCTTCATAACTTTTGGCACTACTTTCATGCGCCATTGATTACCAAATGTATCTTCATCGATTCTAAAATCACAAAGAATTGTAATGGTCAATTGAAAGACAAATATATGGTCGTCATTTAAAGTCAAAAAATGCCCTTTTAAGCACAATCATTCATTATGTAAATGGTTAAAATTAAGAAAATGGTTACGAAATCAATGATTGATACAATGATAAAATAAATTTGTGTTTGGAACACTTACTGAAATTATAATTATTAGCAAGAGAGAAGAATGAATTTAGCCCTTGTTTGAGTTCTATTTTCTAACAAATTCATTTTCGACTATATATTCTCCCAATAAAATAATTTTACACGTAAATTCATAATTTTTAACATACCATTCTCCAAAAATCACAATTACACACCTCATTTTTCACAATAAAAATGGGGCTCAAATTTTGGGGGTGGGGAGAGGAAGGTGAAAGCGCCACTTTTACGAAATTCGAAAGGTGTGTGATTCCTACTTTTTAGGGTTTGGATATTTGTCATTTTGAATATATAGGAACCATTAATTTATAATGTTGCTTGTCTTGACCCATATGGTATGGTCAAAATTCTAAATACACAAGACATGAAGGCTAAGCTTTAAACCTTACAAGTTAAGACATAATATTTGTTTTACGTAGATAAAATACGCAAACTTTGAAAATTTATAAGAACTTATTACATGTATGTCAAGTTTTTAACAAAAACATAATTTCAAACTTATAAATAAATCAATCCAACAATGCTTCATCATGGACTGGTTTTGGGGTAGGTTGAATTTTTGTTGGACTAATTTCATTTTTTTAAGTTTTAATAATGGTTAAACATTTTGCTTGATTGAACTTTAAAATAAGTGTTTCGCGCGGGTTCGTCACTAACAATTAAAAAGGGATCAGACGATTGTGTAAGGGACAAACCTCTTGAGACAAAATCCCAAAAAGGGGTGTTTTTTATTGGCTATGACTTTACAATCGGAAAGTAAAAACAGAATGCCTCCACGGGGCGCAAGCACACGAGTTACTGAAAGAAGTGTTTAAATCTAAATTAAGAAATTTAACATTACATGTTCTCTGTTCGAAAGTTTTTTTATTCGATCCCTTTGCTCTATGTCTTTCCTTCCCTTTATACTCCCTGGATGATCTCTTTGTGATCAACCGCCTAAAAACTGTTTGATCGTTCTATAACTGCCCACTTTTCTCGTAATGGCCAACTTGTCATAGAACTGCCTTTTCTAACTACTGTCATTACTCTTTGTCGTTCAACCGTCTTTAATTGAGTTCCTTGAATCGTGGAAAGTGATAGGGCTGCTTTAATAATTGCTTTGATAACTGCGCTTCTTGATAACCACAATACTTCATGTTTGCTAAGACCTTGGGCGACTCGAAGGTTTGGGCGAGAATAGAGTAACAGCTCTGGGCGACTGTATGGCACTCTATTCGCTCAGATCCTGGGCGACTCGCAAGCTTGGGTGATGGTGTTACCGCGTTCATGGGCCTCCCTATTTGGGTCTTCATCTTGAATTGTCTGATTGGGCTTCGTTCTTTGGGCTATCTGATTTGGGGATCCTCCAATTGGGCTTCATTCGTTGGGCCGTTCGATTTGGGCTGAATTTTTATGTGTCAACAACGATTACCCTCCAATATGGCAGAATTAATACCAATTATTAAATTTTGCCATATTCACTTTGTGTTTCCAGCAACATTCGAAATTCCCAAAAATTTCAATCATTGTTTTCTTCCATAGCTTGAAAAGGTGCGATGTTTTGCAAACCCTTATAACCCCCAAATACGTCATTTCACTGCACCATTAAATCACGCCTCACTTTTTCGCGTTTCTCTCCCACAATTTACTGTTCATCTCTTTGCTTCCCGGCTACGTAACTCTGAAAAACTCTGTTTCATCCCTAATGGCTACTTCACAATCTCAATCTGGCGACTCCTTTAGTTTTGAAGACTTTCAGAAACTCCTTAATCGTCCATACATAACTCCGAACTTTCTCGCGCCTGCCAATGTCGAACTCAATGAGTTCTACCTAGGTCCTTTCTTCAACAATGCAGAGGCAGTCGAACAAGCGGCGGTGGGCCAGCTGTTTCCTTGTACTCAAGGCCCTCCATTTCTAAACTCTCTGCCGCTGGGGCCACTTCGCGAAAGAGGTATTCGCACTTGGTCTAAATCTGATGTAGTTTTCCGTAGGTGGCATGCTCGCCTTGTGGACCATGGTCCTACTAAGGCGCTTTTTGATAATACTAGGATTTCTGATTTGTTAGAAATCTCTCTTCAACCCCCTACTTTGATTCAGCACTTTTTTCGATCCCTTTGAGTTTTTGGTCTTCTGAGTATAATACCTTTGTTTTCCCTCTTGGCCCCATGTCTATTACTTTAAGGGATGTTGGGGCCCTAGTGAATCTGCCACCTTTGGGTGATACCATTTTTCCTGGTATCTTGGTTTCTGGTGGCGCCCCAAAGTTTGGTAGAAACCTCACCGAGTCTTATTCAAGCCTGCAAACCCTTCATAACCATTCGAGTGCTGAGCCTTTCCATACTGAGCGAGTGGCCTTTCTTCTGGTTTGGCTTTGTAAACATGTTTTGTGTGTGCCAAGCATAAAGCCCTCCCTGAGTTATTTACCCATAGCGCACGAATTGGAGCGTGGCAGGCCTTTGAATTTATGTTCTTTCTTTTTGGCTGCCCTCTATAGAGGCATGACTTCTCTTTAAACTCAATTGAAGAATGGTACATCTCCCACTGGCAGTGGACCTCTTTGGTTCACTCAAATGTGGTTGAGATCCTATTTTTCATTTCTTGGTGCTCCATCAATTTCTCATCTTTCTGCTAGCTGCTATGGGCTAGCCATTGAGCCCCTGGCTCCTGTAAATATGTCTAGAAGGGACATTTTTTCATTCTTTTATTCTTTGGATTCAATCCCTTCCTTCTTTCCTTTTCCTCCCTTTTTGACTCCAAACTATGTGCATCCTCCCTCCACTATAGACAACGCGAGCACCTCTCTGCTCATTTGGATCCAGTTTTTAATAGGGAGGGAATTATTTCATGATATTTTAACTGGGACCAATGCCAAGGCTGGGGTAAAAATATATGCTCCTCAATTTTTTGCTCGCCAACTTGGTTTCAGCCAAACCTGGCCTGTTCCTCCTTGCTATTCAAGGAACTTGATAGACCGTTTCCATATTATTAATAAGGCGGAAGCAGAGATTATAAATGCTCGCAATCTTCTTGTGACGAGCCATTTTTCATTAGCCCCTTTCAATTCTAGCCATGTCATCCATCCCCTTTTTGAACAGCTCTGGCCGTCAGTGAAGCGCAGATTGTTTGCGACTGATGCTAATCGTGCCTTTCATTCACTGGACCAGCCGAGCATTTCTTCCCCTCCTCCTGTTTTAGTCACCCCTTTGTCCATCCGGAGTCCTTCTCCTCCTCGTCGCACTAAACAGTCTGCTAGTCCATCTTCTTCTCTCCCTGCCAAGCCTACTGCAGCCAAAAGTGCCCCGAGCCGCAAACGGTCAGCCTCAGCATCTCCCATTCTTGAGGATGATGTTGATGATGATGATGATGATGATGATACCCCTCTTATCATCAGGAGGAAGGTAATTAAATTGGTTTACTCACAAGTATACTTTTCCATACTTGAAACTTTTCTGTGTGCTGATGATTTATTTAGACTTCTCAGAAAAATTCAGCCTCTCCTTTAAAGGTTTTGGCATCGGCAGCTCCCGCTCCATCATCCTCAGCTGAGGCTGCTTCATCTAAACCAGCTGATGAAGGGACTTCGCTTAAAGATACATCTTCAGTCCCAGAATCCTCATCACAACCAATGGATGAGCCATTTTCTTTCCAGGCGTCAACCCCCCAAACATTGAAGTAGAAGGTAATTCAGTTTTTTTATGCTTTACCTTTGCTTGTGCTATTGGTTTCTGATTTGTTGCTTTTGAGTTCTGCAGATGCTCCTATGAGTCTGCCCGTTGTGGCAACATCTTCTCGCTCAAACAAGGGGAAGTCCTCACAAATGGTGGAGCCACAGGTGGCAGACTTGGCTGAGAATATGCCATCTTCCAAGATTATTGATGAGGTAATCTTTACTTCACTTTTATTTCCATCTTGTTCGTTGTAGTGAGAATCTTCAATATTGGCAATTTTCTTTGCAGGATGCTGATAAGATTGTGCATTCCATCCAAGACTTGTTCGCTTCTTGGGGGCAAGTCAAGACATCTCGCCCTGCTCTAACTGGTCGTCCTGC